AAAAAAGGATTTTTTTTTGGTTATCGAAACTACTGATAACGGTGTGTTTATGAGCTAAAATGTGCTTTTCATATGAATTTGTTGGTCTCAAAATGGACGATTTGAATTTCAGTCTGTTTTTAAATGGCATTAAGATTTCCGCAAGGCTCAATATTCAAATCACCATGTCCCAAAAGAGAGTCACATGCTTTCAAGATAAAAAAAAACCCAAAGGAAGCAAGAATATTGATGTTCAGAATTTCCTTTCCAAACAATGACACTGTGGATTAATTACAAACACAGTTGTGTCGAACTTATGTTTGTCTCGAAGTAACATCATGGTCCCTGTATATTCCTTCTTTATTAATCATTTTCAGTTATGTTGAACCTTGAATAACTCGAAGTAATTGGTCCCTTCAACTTGGACACAATGGTGTCTAACTTCACAGCTGAACATTGTTCACCTCTGGAACCATTAACAGTGAAATTAACACACTTTTGGACTGGGTTGAGATGTCTTGTTCAAGATTATTCATTTATATAACGACGTGCATGTAGGTGTGTGTTAATGCTTGCTTGTACCAGTCCAAACTGAGATCCCATGCCGCAGTTTAACATGAATACCCCACTCAGACACAGTATACTGACTCTGAGCTGGCCAGTCCTTGTTTCATCCCCTTAATGCCGAGCGCCAGACAGGGTAACAACAAGTACCATCTTTTATCGTCTTTTGGTATGACACGGCTGGGGGCTGAACTACCGACCTTCTGCTCTCCTGCAGTAAATCATTTCATTGTTGCACAACATATTTAAAAAAAGGAAATCTACATGTTCATCTAGCAGAGAAATAAATACTATATTTCATTAATGCAGGACCCGGTAGACCAGATTTTCGTGGTTAATGTCAACTGTCAGTCACACCCTTTGTATTACTAGAATTGAATCTTGAACGACTGTCTTGCAGCCTGCCAAAGGTACTTTGCTGATGACAACCAACATAAAACATTTTTAGTCTCAGTTTCAACAAGCAGCTAAGTGCATCCTTTGATCTTGCGTTTTTGATGTCTGTCAAAAAATCTAATCCAAACATGATCAAGATTGCCTCATCGTGATTAAAAAAACCCAGCAAAGAAACATGAGAATGAGTGTATTAATGAGCACTGCTCTCTTCCGATCTGGTCATGATATACATGTCCAATGTGGAGTCATAAGACTTTGGGGTGTTTTGCATGTGTAGCGCCTCGAGGTGTTCAGCAACTTAATGAATAGGATAACAAAAAATGAGTTCCGCATGTCTGCAGACATATCTCCATTGGGCACATCTGGAATGGAACAACCTGTCAGTGTCTTGAGAAGATGTACAACCCCCTCCAACCATCTGAAAATAAGATTGATATCTATATTTAATTCAAATAAAGTTGAAACTTTGATAGCTTAATCACATCATTCTGGCAGTGTCAGTCATTGAATGATGCTGATGCATCTTGTTTGTATGTTCTCCGCGGTATTGTGAAGTAGAAGAGAGGACTACAGTGTGGTCATGGAAGTTTCAGGAATCAATAGAATGCCAGGCTGGGTGACATGTGGGTGGGGGGTCTCAGACAAGGAAGTCAATAGGATGCCAGACTGGGGTGCCATGTGGCTGGAGGGTCTCAGACAAGGAAGTCAATAGGATGCCAGGCTGGGTGCCATTTGGTTGGAGGGTCTCAGACAAGTAAGTCAATAGGATGCCAGACTGGGTGCCATGTGGATGTAGGGTCTCAGACAAGGAAGTCAATAGGATGCTAGGCTGGGTGCCAGGTGGCTGGAGGGTCTCGGACAAGGAAGTCAATAGGATGCCAGGCTGGGTGCCATGTTGGTGGAGGGTCTCAGACAAGGAAGTCAATAGTATGCCAGACTGGGGTGCCATGTGGCCGAAAAGTGTCACACAAGGAAGTCAATAGGATGCCAGACCGGGTGCCATGTGGCCGGAGGGTCTCAGACAAGGAAGTCAAAAGGATGCCAGACTGGGGTGCCAAGTTGGTGGAGGGTCTCAGACAAGGAAGTCAATAGTATTCCAGACTTGGTGCCATGTGGATGGAGGGTCTCAGACAAGGAAGTCAATAGGATGCCAGGCTGGGTGCCATGTTGGTGGAGGGTCTCAGACAAGGAAGTCAATAGTATGCCAGGCTGGGGTGCCATGTGGCCGGAGAGTCTCAGACAAGGAAGTCAATAGGATGCCAGACTGGGTGCCATGTGGCCGGAGGGTCTCAGACAAGGAAGTCAATAGGATGCCAGACTGGGTGCCATGTGGCCGGAGGGTCTCAGACAAGGAAGTCAATAGTATGCCAGGCTGGGGTGCCATGTGGCCGGAGGGTCTCAGACAAGGAAGTCAATAGGATGCCAGACTGGGTGCCATGTGGCCGGAGGGTCTCAGACAAGGAAGTCAAAAGGATGCCAGACTGGGGTGCCAAGTTGGTGGAGGGTCTCAGACAAGGAAGTCAATAGGATGCCAGACCGGGTGCCATGTGGATGGAGGGTCTCAGACAAGGAACTCAACAGGATGCCAGGCTGGGTGCCATGTTGGTGGAGGGTCTCGGACAAGGAAGTCAATAGGATGCCAGGCTGGGTGCCATGTGGGTGGAGGGTCTCGGACAAGGAAGTCAATAGGATGCCAGGCTGGGTGCCATGTGGGTGGAGGGTCTCAGACAAGGAAGTCAATAGTATGCCAGACTGGGGTGCCATGTGTCCGGAGAGTCTCAGACAAGGAAGTCAATAGGATGCCAGACTGGGTGCCATGTGTCCGGAGGGTCTCAGACAAGGAAGTCAAAAGGATGCCAGACTGGGGTGCCAAGTTGGTGGAGGGTCTCAGACAAGGAAGTCAATAGGATGCCAGACTTGGTGCCATGTGGATGGAGGGTCTCAGACAAGGAAGTCAATAGGATGCCAGGCTTGGTGCCATGTTGGTGGAGGGTCTCAGACAAGGAAGTCAATAGTATGCCAGACTGGGGTGCCATGTGGCCGGAGAGTCTCAATCAAGGAAGTCAATAGGATGCCAGACCGGGTGCCATGTGGCCGGAGGGTCTCAGACAAGGATGTCAAAAGGATGCCAGACTGGGGTGCCAAGTTGGTGGAGGGTCTCAGACAAGGAAGTCAATAGGATGCCAGACTGGGTGCCATGTGACCGGAGGGTCTCACACAAGGAAGTCAATAGGATGCCAGACTGGGTGCCATGTTGGTGGAGGGTCCCAGACAAGGAAGTCAATAGGATGCCAGACTGGGTGCCATGTGACCGGAGGGTCTCACACAAGGAAGTCAATAGGATGCCAGACTGGGGTGCCATGTGGGTGGAGGGTCTCAGACAAGTAAGTCAATAGGATGCCAGACTTGGTGCCATGTGGGTGGAGGGCCTCAGACAAGGAAGTAAATAGGATGCTAGGCCGGGTGCCATATGGGTGGAGGATCTCAGTCAAGGAAGTCAATAGGATGCCAGGCTGGGTGCCATGGGGCCGGAGGGTCTCAGACAAGGAAGTCAATAGGATGCCAGGCTGGGGTGCCATGCGAGTGAAGGGTCTCAGACAAGGAAGTCAATAGGATGCCAGACTGGGGTGCCATGTGGTTGGAGGGTCTCAGACAAGGAAGTCAAAAGGATGCCAGACTGGGATGCCATGGGGCCGAAGGGTCTCAGACAAGGAAGTCAATAGGATGCCAGGCTGGGTGCCATGGGGCCGAAGGGTCTCAGACAAGGAAGTCAATAGGATGCCAGGCTGGGTGCCATGTGGCTGGAGGGTCTCAGACAAGGAAGTTAATTTGATTTCAGGGAAGGGGGAAGAAAGGCATAAGGAAGAAACCAACCACCCTGATCCTAAACAGTGAACACAACACCTTAATTAATGTTTTATTCAGATTGTTGATTTTTCTCCTTCGAATGTCTTCAGGGGATTCACTGATTGAGAAGTTCATTTAATGAGAACCATTACTTTCTGTTCGAAATGTGACTCCTACTTATCACAGTTGATGTGTTAACACATGTACGTTGATCAAAATAGATGTCTGAGAACATCAAGGAGCTGTTGTACACTGGTACATTAACTTCAAGAGAGGCTGAAGTTGATCAGGAAATTAAAACTACATCCTGAGCTTCTCAACACACATGAAATAAAAAAATACCAAACCCTCAAATCAGCACAGTTCCTATAAATACATCCACACATAAACAAACATAACCTTAACCAACTTCAATACTAAAGACTTCTTATAGACCCAGATGTGTATGAAGAAGACGTTATTTACCTCAGATACATTGTGATGTAAACACCATGTGTAGCTATAAACTATACACAGGGTGTGTGGGAGAGATTGCATGGAGGAAGACATGGTAGTGGGCTTGGAGGGATGGGTGAGGGGCTTTGAGGGATGGGTGAGGGGCTACGGGGGGTGGGCGAGGGGCTTCGAGGGATGGTGAGGGGCTTTGAGGGATGGGTGAGGGGCTTCTAGGGATGGACGAGGGGCTTGGAGGGATGGGCGAGGGGCTTTGAGGGATGGGTGAGGGGCTTCGAAGGATGGGCGAGGGGCTTGGAGGGATGGGTGAGGGGCTACGGGTGGGGGTAGGGGTGGGGGTTGGGGTGGGCGAGGGGCTTCGAGGGATGGTGAGGGGCTTTGAGGGATGGGTGAGGGGCTTGGAGGGATGGGTGAGGGGCTTCGAGGGATGGGCGAGGGGCTTGGAGGGATGGGTGAGGGGCTACGGGTGGGGGGGGGGGGGGGGGGTGGGCGAGGGGCTTCGAGGGATGGTGAGGGGCTTTGAGGGATGGGTGAGGGGCTTGGAGGGATGGGCGAGGGGCTTCTAGGGATGGACGAGGGGCTTCTAGGGATGGTGAGGGGCTTGGAGGGATGGGCGAGGGGCTTGGAGGGATGGGTGAGGGGCTACGGGGGGGGGGGGGGAGAGTGGGCGAGGGGCTTCGAGGGATGGTGAGGGGCTTTGAGGGATGGGCGAGGGGCTGGGAGGGATGGGCGAGGGGCTTCTAGGGATGGACGAGGGGCTTCTAGGGATGGTGAGGGGCTTGGAGGGATGGGCGAGGGGCTTGGAGGGATGGGTGAGGGGCTACGGGGGATGGGTGAGGGGCTTTGAGGGATGGGTGAGGGGCTTCTAGGGATGGGCGAGGGGCTTCTAGGGATGGACGAGGGGCTTCTAGGGATGGTGAGGGGCTTTGAGGGATGGGCGAGGGGCTTGGAGGGATGGGCGAGGGGCTTCTAGGGATAGGCGAGGGGCTTCTAGGGATGGTGAGGGGCTTGGAGGGATGGGCGAGGGACTTGGAGGGATGGGTGAGGGGCTTGGAGGGATGGTGAGGGGCTTCGAGGGATGGGTGAAGGGCTTCTAGGGATGGCGAGGGGTTCGAGGGATGGGTGAGGGGCTTGGAGGGATGGGCGAGGGGCTTCGAGGGATGGGTGAGGGGCTTGGGGGGATGGGTGAGGGGCTTGGAGGGATGGGTGAGGGGCTTGGAGGGATGGGCGAGGGGCTGGGAGGGATGGGTGAGGGGCTTCGAGGGATGGGTGAGGGGCTTCGAGGGATGGGTGAGGGTCTCTGAGGGATAGGTGAGGGTCTCTATGGGATGGGGAAGGGGCTTCATGGGATGGGGGAGGGGCTTCGAGGGATGGACGAGGGGCTTTGAGGGATGGACGAGGGGCTTGGAGGGATGGGCGAGGGGCTTGGAGGGATGGACGAGGGGCTTGGAGGGATGGGTGAGGGGCTTGGAGGGATGGATGAGGGGCTTGGAGGGATGGGCGAGGGGCTTGGAGGGATGGGCGAGGGGCTTGGAGGGATGGACGAGGGGCTTGGAGGGATGGGTGAGGGGCTTGGAGGGATGGGCGAGGGGCTTGGAGGGATGGGCGAGGGGCTTCGAGGGATGGACGAGGGGCTTCGAGGGATGGGCGAGGGGCTTCTAGGGATGGGTGAGGGGCTTGGAGGGATGGGCGAGGGGCTTGGAGGGATGGGCGAGGGGCTTGGAGGGATGGGCGAGGGGCTTCGAGGGATGGGTGATATGTTGTTGGGTGTGGGGAGAGAAACCTTTTGAGGCTTTCAGTGAGTATGTGAGTATAGTTTTATGCTGCTTTTAGCAATATCCAGCAATATCACAGTAGTGGACGCCAGAAATGGGCATTACATATAAGACCCATGTGGGCAAACGAACCTGGGTCTTCTGTGTGACGAGCAAATGCTTTTACTACTAGGCAACTGCGCCCCCCACCCCTGAGTGGGTTCTCTGGACAGCCTGTGTGCATGACGGGTGAATAAAGTGACTGTGTGAGTTTGGCATAAAGACACCTTGAACATGCTAGTATTTAAGTCACTCGTATATATATCAGTGTGTGTGTGCTTGATGTGGGAGGAAAGCCCCAAGTGATGCAGGTCCTAGGACATTTACCAGTGAGTGAGTGAGTGAGTGGGTATGTGGGTGGGTGGGTGACTGAGTGAGTGAGTGAGTGGGTGGGTGGGTGGTTGAGTGAGTGAGGGAGGGAGAAAGGGAGTGAGTTAGTGAGTGATGGAGTGAGCGAGTGATGCAGCGAGTGAGTGAGTGAGTTGTATTATGTCACAGCATGCAATATTACAGTTCCATCATAGAGGCATGAAAACAAATGAGTCTGAACAAACCAGTGGTTGATGACATGAACAACACTTCAATATACAAAATTTAAAATTAAAAACCAACCAACTCGTGAACACCTGGTGTCATCGATGACTTTCGCTGATCCATTCATACAATTTCACCAATGGAATCTGTTTCAGCAGATAATCGAAGCTGGTTATACTCTAGCATTGAGTGAGTGAGTGAGTATGGTTTTACACCGCTTTTAGCAATATTCCAGCAATATCACGGCGGGGGACACCAGAAATGGGCTTCACACATTGCACCCATGTCGGGAATCGAACCCGGTTCTTCGGCGTGACGAGCGAACGCTTTAACCACCAGGCTACCCGACCGCCTCTCTGGCATTGATGTTTTATCTGTAGATATGGGGAAACTCTTCATCCGAGATTCTCTCCACTCAAATGTTTTGAATTCAATCCCCTAAAATGACAGACAGAAAAAGTTGAAATAATACAATGATAAAAGAAAGCTATTAGCTATGACTTTCTACTTTTTCCTCTTAAGGTCATTAGAAACAAAACACTTCTGAAAAGCTTTCATTAAGAAGCTCATTTATTAAGTGAGTAGATAAAGTCAAGCTTGTCCCAGCATGATGTTGAGAGCGCAAGCTTGAGGAAGAACACATGCGATAACACCACTCTTGGCATCGACACTCCTCAGTCAGGGGTACTGTATTAAAATCTTTTTCTCACTTCAGCACACACAAGCATTTAATACCCATATCCCCTGCCAATATGACAAGTCCGGTTGTGTGCAGTGCATTAGCTCCTGTGAACGAATGTTCACTGGACCTTTTTGTAAATGGCGTAATTGCAGCGCTAAATGTAATATGTAACTGTATTTGTAATGAGTTGTGTTATTACTTAAACAATAAGCAAAGAGGTAAAGGAGTTTTTACTTTACTTAGAGAGCAGGGGTCACCATGAGGTGTACTGAGAAGTACAGCACCAATCATCTGATGATCTGAGTAGTAGACTGGAGTCTGGAATGCTACAGCACTGGCATGATCAGTTAACAACAAGTCCAGTGTAGCTCCTAGACAGTGAGCTGGAGAGTGAATGAGTTGAGTCATTTTCCGCACATGAAAGAAATCTGCAAGTTTCAGCTTTTCACTTAGATCAAAGTTGCAATCCCCAGTAACTACGACATGTTCACATTCATGCTGCTTGGAGAGATCCTGAAGTTTCTGCATAAAATGAGTAAGTTAATGTGACAACCGTGTCCATGACACTTTTGGAGGAACATACACAAAAGCAATGCAGAACTTGCCAACAAGACAGGAAATGTATTCAATACTGCGAGATGACATTACATCACGTAGCTGGACTCTGTCCTTGAAACTTGGTGAAACATACACAGTAATACCATGTGTAGTGTCTCCTGGATAGACTTAATATCCTGGCAGGTCTCTTTCACTGTAATCATTGATGTGTGTTTCTGTGAAACACAAAACATCAAGCACACTAACAAACTTACACTGCAAGGAAGTAGGCTGATTCGGGTGCCCCTGTTCATGTTCCCGGCATGCACTGCGAGGAAGTAGGCTGGTTTGGGTGCCCCTGTTCATGTTACCGGCATGCACTGCGAGGAAGTAGGCTGGTTCGGGTGCCCCTGTTCATGTTACCGGCATGCACTGCGAGGAAGTAGGCTGATTCGGGTGCCCCTGTTCATGTTCCCGGCATGCACTGCTAGGAAGTAGGCTGGTTCGGGTGCCCCTGTTCATGTTACCGGCATGCACTGCGAGGAAGTAGGCTGGTTCGGGTGCCCCTGTTCATGTTACCACTACCCACTGCGAGGAAGTAGGCTGGTTCTGGTGCCCCTGTTCATGTTACCGGCATGCACTGCGAGGAAGTAACGGGTTCGGGTGCCCCTGTTCATGTTACCGGCATGCACTGCGAGGAAGTAACGGGTTCGGGTGCCCCTGTTCATGTTACCGGCATGCACTGCGAGGAAGTAACGGGTTCGGGTGCCCCTGTTCATGTTACCGGCATGCACTGCGAGGAAGTAACGGGTTCGGGTGCTCCTGTTCATGTTCCCGGCATGCATTGCGAGGAAGTAGGCTGGTTCGGGTGCCCCTGTTCATGTTACCGGCATGCACTGCGAGGAAGTAGGCTGATTCGGGTGCCCCTGTTCATGTTACTACTACCCACTGCGAGGAAGTAGGCTGGTTCGGGTGCCCCTGTTCATGTTACCACTACCCACTGCGAGGAAGTAGGCTGGTTCGGGTGCCCCTGTTCATGTTACTACTACCCACTGCGAGGAAGTAGGCTGGTTCGGGTGCCCCTGTTCATGTTACCGGCATGCACTGCGAGGAAGTAACGGGTTCGGGTGCCCCTGTTCATGTTACCGGCATGCACTGCGAGGAAGTAGGCTGGTTCGGGTGCTCCTGTTCATGTTCCCGGCATGCACTGCGAGGAAGTAGGCTGGTTCAGGGTGCCCCTGTTCATGTTACCGGCATGCACTGCGAGGAAGTAGGCTGATTCGGGTGCCCCTGTTCATGTTACCGGCATGCACTGCGAGGAAGTAGGCTGGTTCGGGTGCTCCTGTTCATGTTACCGGCATGCACTGCGAGGAAGTAGGCTGGTTTGGGTGCCCCTGTTCATGTTACCGGCATGCACTGCGAGGAAGTAGGCTGGTTCGGGTGCCCCTGTTCATGTTACTACTACCCACTGCGAGGAAGTAGGCTGGTTCGGGTGCCCCTGTTCATGTTACCGGCATGCACTGCGAGGAAGTAGGCTGGTTCGGGCGACACGATTCATGTTAATGGTACCCTGGTTCAGGTGCCACTGTTCATGTTGCGGGCATGCATGCATTTTCAGTCTAAGTCAAAGTCGTTGCCATGGAAACTCGAAAAATAGTTTTTAAAAAAACATCTCCAAACTGCCAAAAGGCACCAGTTCACCACTAGACCTATCTATGTGCCAAGTTTGGTGAAGAAATATTAACGGTTTTCAAGATCTGCTCCGGAAACGAGGACTACCGCCATTTTCCGTCTAAGTCAAAGTCGTTGCCATGGAAACTCGATTTTTTGAAAAACATCCCGAACTATCAAAAGGCACCAGTTCAAAACTAGACCTATCTATGTGCTAAGTTTGGTTAAGATATATCTCATGGTTTTTGTGTTCTGCTCCGGAAACGAAATGTGACGGACGGACGGAAGGACAGAAGGACGGAAAAACGGACGGATTGCACCCATTCCTATACCCCCCCCCCCCCCCCCCCCCCTACCACTTCGTGGCGGGGTATAATAAGGCCACACTAACTTAATCAAGAGATTTACATCCAAATTCTTCAAAAAAAGTTCTTATATTCCATATCTTTTAAACAGGCTTCTGGGAACATCGATAGCTGTGATACTTTCAGTGCTTAGGCAACCAAGCGCACTGTCTTTTGGATATCCTCACCATATACCATACACGTGTGATCTAGTCTTAAATCAATCAGTCCTCGGACCAAAACCAATTGCCACAATTAATGAATTGTTAGATTTCCCCCCAATTTGTTTTGAACATGTGAGGCAGGAGACAATTTATTTTTTGTACATTTTATCTTTTACAAACAAGCAAGTCATCTGTGTACATAAACTGTTAATGGATGCAATTCACATGAATCATGGATGTTTGCTTGGACTGTGTATATGGTGTATTTAATTAAGTGAAAAAACACAGCGATTTCCTTCATCTCGAAGCACTTTGGGGAAAAAAATGATGTGAGGCAAGCAGGGATGAAAATTTAATTACCCGGTATATCTATTAGGGCATTAAAGGAATTCTTTGTTGGATATCTTTGTTTGTTTGCATCTGAGGGGGGATAAGAATATACATTATAGCTAAAATTGATAGAATCATCATTAAACCGCCCGCATGTTATCAGAAATTATAACTAAAATGGATAGAATTATCATTAAACCGCTCGCACGTTATCAGAAATGAGCGGGCCACTGTAACTTGATAATGCCCTCATATTGCTTGACGACGGGCCATTATCAAGCCCGTTGTGAGGTGACGTCATAGGGTAGAGAAAGTGACGTCACGTATTATAGTGACGTCATCTGGTTTGTTCTATGACGTTTCCATGTTTGTAAAATGGGGTCAGTGACATTCGTGTTGACTGCAGTAAATGTTTCAAAACCGATATTGTTGTTTCGTTTTATTTGATAACAAATTCCATCCATTTTAGCTATAATAACGATAACGCTATTTTTCAGGGCATTATCATATGCAGAAGCCCTCGGTCTTTTCAACTGCCCTCCTTCGTCGGGCAGTTAATGGAAAACCTCGGGCTTCTGCAAATGATAATGCCCTGAAAAATAGCGTTATCCTTAAATGAGTGGGCCACTGTAGCTTGATAATGCCCTCTTATTGCTTGACGACGGGCCATTATCATGCCTATTGTTAGGTGACGTCAAAGGGAGCGCAATAGTG